CCCCCCTTCCCTTCGTTAGCCGTCACGGACATCGACGTCACCGGACTCCTCCCCCCTTCCCTTCGTTAGCCGTCACGGACATCGACGTCACCGGACTCCTCCCCCTTCCCTTCGTTTGCCGTCGCGGACATCGATGTCACCGGACTCCTCCCCCCCTTCCCTCAAAGCAGAGCAGTCGCGGTAATTATTTGATCTCACTGTCTCCATATTCGCGGGAAGAAGACTGGCCTGCGGCCGTTACGTTCGCCGCCAAGCCACGCCCCCCCCCAAATATCAATCATAGGTTTTGATCGGCTTCTTCAGTAAAGAAAAAAAAAACACCACGAGTAATGAGCAACAACAGCCAGTGGTTGCCGGGTGAGAGATAAAGTCTGATTGGATGCTTTGTGTTTATACATTGACCCTTCCTGCACCCCGTAGAATATATATTCATAATAGGCGGACCGAGCTCCCGTTATTGTTCCTTCATATTCAGGTCTATGTCATGTCACCTGCGGATTCATACAGAGTCCTTGTGTTGTCATGGTGGCCCGTTTTGTTTCTCCGTGTATTACCATATATGGTCATGTGATACCACAGTTCAGCTCTATGATGTCATCAGTGTGGACCCAAGTCGGTACTGTTTGCTTAGAGGATCATCGTACTACAACTGATCCGCTGTAGCAATATTCGTATCCAACGACACCCCTAGGCTTGCCACCTGTTCAGGATTCACCCGGACGGTCCGGGTTTTGAAGGCCGTGTCCCACAGGATGTCAGGCAGACGGGGGCAACCAAAATTAAGATAACGGCTACTGGCTCCCCCCACTGAAAACAGTCTCAACTGTGATATTTACATATGAATGGGTGGAGCTATATACATATGAATAAGCCACGGCTCATTGTCCCCCAAAAATATGTCCGCGTGTCGCTAGAGTGTTCGGGTTTCGCTTGAAGAAAAGGTGGCAACCCTAGACACCCCTGAAGCTCCAATTCTTTTGGACAAACCCCAAATACATCACAGTGGGCCTATCTTCCCTCTTTGCCCAGAAAATCGGTGGCTGGTGGGATTACAATAGCCAACTCCGGTATGCTTCCATCATCTATGGTCAGAGTTACGGATACCTGGTGAGGCTCCTCCTCTTCCTGCTGGAATTTAATTTTGTTGTGGAAAGGAAAAAAGCTCATGGAGACACCCAAGGTGGGTGATAAGAGAGCCAAGGACTTTGTCAGGACCAACACTTGGCATTGAGTACCATCAAGGGTCAAATTTCGGAATTAATAAAACATTTTTTAAAGGGCTCTTTCCTCTCCTGTGTTGTCACGATGGCCCATTTGTTGCCCATGTGTTTTCACGATGGCCCATTTGTTGCCCAATGACCGTGTTAAGGCCAATCTGTTATCCCATGTGTTGTCAAAATTGGCCTTTGTGGTCCCTTGTATTGTTATCTGACTCCGATTGTTGTGATAGCGAAATATATCCCTTGTGAGACCTCTATGCCCGGCCTGTATAAGCAGATATACTCGCTGCGGACAATCCTCGTCAGATAGCTGAACTCGTCAATACTGATTCATTCAAAAGAGGTGTTTATTCTTTAACATCAGGGTTACAGCAGATGACAGGAACAGCAGTTGAACGGTTATAGTATTGTGCGGTCAGAAAATGATGCTTTTTCTAGCGTACTATGTAGAGTACATGTGTCCTAGTTACATGTGGCCTGTTAGCTGTGGCCATGACACAGGAAGTACTGCTCTCAGGAAGAAGGGTGGGGCTTACGTAAAGAGAAACTGAGTCATCGACCTCAGAGATATCAGGGAAGGCAACATTGAAAAATACATACACTACCACAAAAGGCCACTAGATGGCAACATATAACTAACTATATAAACGTCCATATGAAAATGGTATAGAGAAACAATCTATATAAATTCTCATCTATATAAAACTTCTATGCCCCATTGGGGCGGCGCAATTGTGTTGATGGCCCATTAGTTGCCCATTTTCTTGTCATTATTGCCCATTTGTTGGCCAATGTATTGTCACGATGGCCCATTTCTATTCTGACTCCGATTGTTGTGATAGCGATATATCCCTTGCTGAGACCTCTATGCCTGGCCTGTATAAGCAGATATACTCACTGCGGACAATCCTTGTCAGATAGCTGAACTCACCAATACCGATTCATTCAAAAGGGTGCTTTATTCTGAACATCAAGGTTACAGCAGATGGATGGAACAGCAGTTGAATGGTTATAGTATTGTGCGGTCAAAAAATGATGCCTTTTCTAGCGTACTATGTAGAGTACATGTGTCCTAGTTACATGTGGCCTGTTAGCTGTGGCCATGACACAGGAAGTACTGCTCTCAGGAAGAAGAGTGGGGCTTACGTAGAGAGGAACTGAGTCATCGACCTCAGAGATATCAGGGAAGGCAACATTGAAAAATAAATAGACTACCACAAAAGGCTGGGTCAAATTTCGGAATTAATAAAACATTTTTTAAAGGGCTCTTTCCTCTCCTGTGTTGTCACGATGGCCCATTTGTTGCCCATGTGTTTTCACGATGGCCCATTTGTTGCCCAATGACCGTGTTAAGGCCAATCTGTTATCCCATGTGTTGTCAAAATTGGCCTTTGTGGTCCCTTGTATTGTTATCTGACTCCGATTGTTGTGATAGCGAAATATATCCCTTGTGAGACCTCTATGCCCGGCCTGTATAAGCAGATATACTCGCTGCGGACAATCCTCGTCAGATAGCTGAACTCGTCAATACTGATTCATTCAAAAGAGGTGTTTATTCTTTAACATCAGGGTTACAGCAGATGACAGGAACAGCAGTTGAACGGTTATAGTATTGTGCGGTCAGAAAATGATGCTTTTTCTAGCGTACTATGTAGAGTACATGTGTCCTAGTTACATGTGGCCTGTTAGCTGTGGCCATGACACAGGAAGTACTGCTCTCAGGAAGAAGGGTGGGGCTTACGTAAAGAGAAACTGAGTCATCGACCTCAGAGATATCAGGGAAGGCAACATTGAAAAATACATACACTACCACAAAAGGCCACTAGATGGCAACATATAACTAACTATATAAACGTCCATATGAAAATGGTATAGAGAAACAATCTATATAAATTCTCATCTATATAAAACTTCTATGCCCCATTGGGGCGGCGCAATTGTGTTGATGGCCCATTAGTTGCCCATTTTCTTGTCATTATTGCCCATTTGTTGGCCAATGTATTGTCACGATGGCCCATTTGTTATCCCGTGTATTGTCATGATTGACAGTATGTTTTCCACCTACTGTCACAATTGCCGATATGCTGCCCGCCTGTTGTCATACTTGCCCATTAATACTTTTAGATATGCAGTTCCCAGGCCTACTGACCTATCATGCTTGTTTTTAAGGGGCTCCCACTCTTCCTACCTTTTAAACCTGTGTGAATTCTCTGATGTATGACAAGAGTTGATCTCTGAATGAAACCTTTCCCGCACACTGAACATGAGAATGGATGCTCACCGGTGTGACTTCTTTGGTGTCTATCGAGGTTTCCTTTCTGAGCAAAACTTTTCCCACACTCTGAACAGAAATAGGGTCTTTCCCCCGTGTGACATCTCTGGTGTTTGTTAAGGCATCCTCTCTGAGCGAAACTTTTCCCACACTCTGAGCATGTAAAGGGAAGGTCACCTGTGTGAATTTTCTGGTGTGTAACAAGGCTTCCTTTCTCCGTAAAACTTTTTCCGCACTCTGGACATATATAGGTGCACTCACCAGTGTGAATGATCTGATGTTTAATAAAGTTGCTTTTGTGAGTAAAACGTCTGTCACACTCTGGACATGAATAAGGACGCTCACCTTTGTGAAGCTTCTGGTGCGAAACAAGGCCTCCTTTCTCAGTAAATCGTTTCCCACACTCTGAGCATGAATACGGGCGCTCACCTGTGTGAATTTTCCGATGTTTATTAAGACTTCCTAACCCAATGAAGCCTTTCCCGCACTCTGGACAAGGATGGGGACGTTCAACAATGTGAATTTTCTGGTGTGCAGTAAGTCTTTTTTTCTCTGTGAAACTTTTCCCGCACTCTGAGCATGAAAAGGGACGTTCAGATTTGTGAACAATCTGGTGATTATAAAGACCTGCTCTGTGAATGAAAGATTTCCCGCATTCTGAACATGAAAAAGAACGGTCATCAGAGTGAATTCTTCGGTGTAGAACAAGAACTCTTTTATTAGCAAAAGATTTCCCGCACTCTGGACATGAAAAGGGACGTTCACCCGTGTGACTTCTCTGATGTATAACAAAGCTTCCTTTCTGAATGAAACTTTTCCCGCACTCAGCACATGAATAAGGACGCTTGTCCTCGTGAATTTTCTGGTGTTCAACAAGGCTTCCTTTCTTATTGAAACTTTTCCCGCACTCTGGACATGAAAAGGGACGTTCATCCGTGTGATTTCTCTCATGAGCAAGAAGGTTTCTTTTCTGAGAAAAAAAGTTTTCCCGCACTCTGAGCATGAGAATGATCTCTTTTTCGTGTGATCACCTCCAGGCCTTGAGGAGGATTCTTTGGGATTAGGTGGATCTGTTGATCTATCCGCACTGTGAGGTCTCAGAGGTGTATCTGGAGTTCCGGTCTGGGAGATATCAGATGATTCCTGAAGATTAGAGGGATCCATTGATGTCCGGAGACTTCCTCCCGAAACGTGTTGTGTGACGTCATTATAATCTGGAGATAAAATCGGATGATCCTCAGAGATATTCTGGACGTCACCTCCTCCTGTTGGAAAACAAGGTTTCAATCTATTAAGAAGTATTCTTCATGCCTCACATTCAGAAATCATACATGTTGGTGGAACGCTAAACATGTGTACAGAGCTCTGTCATGGAACCGGGAGCAATCGTCACATGACAATATAAATACAAGCCAGATACCACCACGCCACACAGGAGAACATGTGACATGATGGCCTTGTAGAGATGGACCTTCATATGGTGTACAGTATCTCCTCCTCATTTGTTGGTCACATGACGTTATATTGAGGAATGGAGATGGACCTTCATATGGTGTACAGTATCTCCTCCTCATTTGTTGGTCACATGACGTTATATTGAGGAATGGAGATGGACCTTCATATGGTGTACAGTATCTCCTCCTCATTTGTTGGTCACATGACGTTATATTGAGGAATGGAGATGGACCTTCATATGGTGTACAGTATCTCCTCCTCATTTGTTGGTCACATGACGTTATATTGAGGAATGGAGATGGACCTTAGCGTGATAAATACAAATATGACATATTTCTTAGGAGGGCCGGAGATCTGTATACCATATGGTAATGCAGATTTGGGATTGTAGACTAGATATATCGATGACATTCTTGTCCATCCCTTGTCTACCATCATCTTAATAACCATGTTATAGTCCAACCTATGTAACAATGTAAATGTATACTTTATACTTAAAGTTATTTCAAAATGTGACCTGTTTCTGCAATGAAGGCTCAATACTTACGTGTGTCCATATGTAGAGAAGATTCCTCCTGCTTACTCTTCACCATCATCTCCCCCTCCTCCATGGACTGCTGAGCCCCACTCCCCAACGTCTCCTCTTCGACTTTGTGGTCTTTCAGGTCTTCTTCCTAAATTCCAGACATGCCAAAATACAACATCTGGAACGGTTACCACCGATAATAAGATTACATAGAAGAAGGTCATCTCATCAAATTATTTTTAATTCACTTCATCCGGCCCCATCTACCTGATCATGGTGGGGGATGGTGTGACCTTCCTGTGTGGAATCCCGGGAACACAGAGGACCTCCCTCCTCCATAGACTGCTGATCTACATTCATAATTGTCTTCTCTTCTTCAACCTCAACTTTGGGATTTAGGGTGAAGACCTGAAAGACATTAAAGATGATGGAACACAGGAAGGAACAAGAGATTTCATGGAAAAGGGTCATCTTATGATTTAGAATACATTTGAGGGGTTTATGTTCAGCTCCACCGACCTGATCATGGTGGGGGACGGTGAGATCTTCCTGGGTGGGATCCCGGGAATACAGAGGACGGGGACATCTCTCTGGTGGGTTCCTCTTACTGGATCCATCTGTAGGAAACACACACAGTGACTGAATACATTGTTTCTATGTGTGTATCAGATGATGGGGGATGTAGGTGGAGCCTCCGTACTGCTCTCTCCTCTTACCCGGTGATGTGAGGGGCGGGGCATTCTCCATCACCACGTCCTTGTAGAGATCCTGGTGTCCCAAGTCCTTTCGGTTCTCCATGGAATTCACAAGTGAATAATGCTGCAATGAGAGAAAAGATGTCATGTGACCTCCCAGAATCCTCCTCACCCTTCCGGTCAGGTCTGTGTTTTATGAATGGAGATCAGAGTGATGTCATGTGACCTCCCAGAATCCTCCTCACCTCTCCGGTCAGCAGGTAGATGATCTCCAGGGTGAGGTCCAATATCTTCTCAGTCATGTGACTCCGGTCCTCCTCCATCCCCGCTGTGGTGGTCATTATAAATGACGGACTCGGTATTATTTCTTTCACTCCGGCGTGCGTGTGTGATGATACCCGATACGTGTTGCGCAAATCCTTCTTTACATACATGTGCTCGTGATAGACGTCTGTTTGCTTTCGAGGGCAAAATTTGTATCTATTTTGTTATATTTTTTTCATCTATCCTTTTTGGCTTTCACAAAGCGGTCAGAAAGCCCCGTATGTCACAGCATTGGGCAGGTGACAGGTACTCTTTACGGAGACAACAGTGGGCCTATTAGACCCCCGACGTCCCCTCTGCCCTGTGTTATTTCCGATCCAGCACAGACTGCGTCCCATGATTTTCATGCAGGATTGTGACAGTCCGGAGCCCGGAGATGTTCAGAGCCGAGCGCTTACGGGTTCACGCGCTGATAGTGGTGTCCACCATCCCGACGCTCTTTGTTCTGGTCCCGGGATCTGAGAAGACCCGGGAACCAAAGAGTGAGGGGTGGCCTGGCAGGGGGTTAGGGGATCGCAGCACCCCTCCGGTCATGTAAATGGTTAATAGAGAGGAATTCCGGGTGTAAATATAAAATAATATCTTATTACCTCCTCTGCTGCCAGTCCCAGCAATGTCTCCTCTCTACTTCCTCCCAACTCTCACCTGGAACTTCCTGTCTGCACCTGGCATCACTTCCAGTGAGGATATGACATCATTTCCTGTAAGAGTGTGACATCAATTCCTTTGTCTAATAAATCACACTCTTCCAATCTCTGTGTTCCACCTTTTGCTGTTTTTATATTCGGCTCCGTATGATTGGACAAAGGATCTCCCACCTCCGCGGTGATGTAATGAAAGGAGCGGTGCGGTCAATATTTTACAATGCGACGGCCGCGTCAGAAATAAAAAGAAAGAACCGCCGGACCGAAATGTAAATCTAAACCTAAAAACAACAATGTAACTTCCGCTGTCAGTCCTAACATACCAGCCAGGGTGACAACCCTGACCCCTTCTATAGATATAGTACAATGAGTGTTGTCACTCTAGGACAGGAAGAGTGTTACTGGCAGGATCACCGGGGGAAGTACAGGAAAGAAACACTAAATAATGAAAACTAATTCAGACACCACTTCTAAGAGCCCATTCACACCAGGGCGGCTGCAGGTCAGGGTGATGGGGGGCGGGGGGATTGGTGGCAACCCTATATAATTGCTGTTTAATTATGCACTGATGGGATTTGTAGTCCTCTATTGCTGAATAGTCATGGACTGAGTTACAGTCCCTCATAATTATACTTGTACGTGGTCTTGAAAAGATGGTGTCAAATCATCCCTATTATTTATTATTGTCCACCAGATGACCACAACCGGCGGTGACCCAAGCTCATTCCCATCACCAATGGAGGACTCTCTATGATCTGAGCTCATTCCCATCACCAATGGAGGACTCTCTATGAACTGAGCTCATTCCCATCACCAATGGAGGACTCTCTATGAACTGAGCTCATTCCCATCACCAATGGAGGACTCTCTATGACCTGAGCTCATTCCCATCACCAATGGAGGACTCTCTATGACCTGAGCTCATTCCCATCACCAATGGAGGACTCTCTATGACCTGAGCTCATTCCCATCACCAATGGAGGACTCTCTATGAACCGAGCTCATTCCCATCACCAATGGAGGACTCTCTATGACCTGAGCTCATTCCCATCACCAATGGAGGACTCTCTATGAACCGAGCTCATTCCCATCACTGATCATCTAAGATTTCGGGTCATTTGTAGAACTTTCTTGTTTATTTTACAAATTCAGAATAACACAGAATATAATGAAGATTTAACACTCAATAAAATGTTTTTGAAATGGAAATCACATCCGGTATAATTGGAGTAAATATCTATTACAGTTATTGATCATTATTGGAGGAACTACAACTAATGTCTGTCTATAGGAAGGTTGACGGGTGAGAGATAAAGTCTGGTTGGATGCTTTGTGTTTATACATTGACCCTTCCTGCACCCCGTAGAATATATATTCATAATAGGCGGACCGAGCTCCCGTTATTGTTCCTTCATATTCAGGTCTATGTCATGTCACCTGCGGATTCATACAGAGTCCTTGTGTTGTCATGGTGGCCCGTTTTGTTTCTCCATGTATTACCATATATGGTCATGTGATACCACAGTTCAGCTCTATGATGTCATCAGTGTGGGCCCAAATCGGTACTGTCTGTTTAGAATATCATCGTACTACAATTGAATCCCTGTAGCAATATTAGTATCAAAGAACACCCCAATATTTTTGACAAACCCCAAATACATCACAGCTTGTATAGCGCACCATGCGGGCCTATCTTCCCCCCTGTGCCCAGAAAATCTGAGGCTGGTGGGATTACAATAGCCAACTCCGGTATGCTACCATCATTTAGGCTCTGAGGTCTGGTTACTTGGTGAGGCTCCTCCTCTTCCTGCTGCAATTTCATTTTCTTGTGGAACGGAAAAGGACTCATGGAGACACCCAAGGTGGGTGATAAGAGAGCCAAGGACTTTGTCAGGACCAACACTTGGCATTGAGTACCATCAAGGGTCACATTATGGAATGATTATTATCTTAAAGGGCACTTTCCTGTCCTGCGTTGTCACGAGGGTCCATTTATTGTCCCATGTGATGTCACGAGGGCCCATTTGTTGCCCAATGTACTCTCATGATGGCCAATCTGTTATCCCATGTGTTGCCAAAATTGGCCATTTGTGGTCCCGTGTATTGTGTTGATTGGCGGTATGTTTTCCACCTACTGTCACAATTGCCGATATGCTGCCCGCCTGTTGTCATACTTGCCCATGAGTACTTTTAGATATGGAGTTCCCAGGTCTACTGACCTATCATGCTTGTTTTTAAGGGGCTCCCACTCTTCCTACCTTTTAAACCTGTGTGAAATCTCTGATGTTTGACAAGACTTGATCTCTGAATGAACCCTTTCCCGCACTCTGAACATGACTATGGATGCTTACCTGTGTGATTTCTTTGGTGTCTATTGAGGTTTCCTTTCTGAGCAAAACTTTTCCCACACTCTGAACAGAAATAGGGTCGTTCCCCCGTGTGACATCTCAGGTGTTGGTTAAGGCTTCCTCTCTGAGTGAAACGTTTCCCACACTCTGAGCATGTAAAGGGAAGGTCACCTGTGTGAATTTTCTGGTGTGTAACAAGGCTTCCTTTCTCAGTAAAACGGTTTCCGCACTCTGGACATATATAGGGACACTCACCAGTGTGAATGATCTGATGTTTAAGAAGGTCTCTTTTCTGAATAAAACGTTTGTCACACTCTGGACATGAAAAAGGACGCTCACCTTTGTGAAGTTTCTGGTGCGTAACAAGGCTTCCTTTCTCAGTAAATCGTCTCCCACACTCTGAGCATGAATAGGGACGTTCACCTGTGTGATATATCTCGTGTTTAAGTAGGCCTTCTTTTGTAGTAAAACTTTTCCCACACTCTGAGCATGAATAGGGACGCTCACCTGTGTGATATATCTGGTGTCTAAGTAGGCTTTCTTTTGTAATGAAACATTTCCCACACTCTGAGCATGAATACGGGCGCTCACCTGTGTGAATTTTCCGATGTTTATTAAGTCTTCCTAACCCAATGAAGCCTTTCCCGCACTCTGGACATGGATGGGGACGTTCACCAATGTGAATTTTCTGGTGTGCAGTAAGTCTTCTTTTCTCAGTGAAACTTTTCCCACACTCTGAGCATGAAAAGGGACGTTCAGATTTGTGAACGATCTGGTGCCTATAAAGATCTGCTCTCTGAATGAAAGATTTCCCACATTCTGAACATGAAAAAGGACGGTCATCCGAGTGAATTCTTCGGTGTAGAACAAGCACTCTTTTATTAGCGAAAGATTTCCCGCACTCTGGGCATGAAAAGGGACGTTCACCCGTGTGACTTCTCTGGTGAATAACAAAGCTTCCTTTCTGACTGAAACTTTTCCCGCACTCAGCACATGAATAAGGACGCTTATCCTCGTGAGTTTTCTGGTGTGCAACAAGGATTCCTTTCTGAGTGAAAGTTTTCCCGCACTCTGGACATGAAAAGGGACGTTCATCCGTGTGATTTCTCTGGTGAGCAAGAAGGCCTCCTTTCTGAGTGAAACTTTTCCCGCACTCTGAGCATGAGAATGATTTCTTTTTCGTGTGATCACCTCCAGGTCTTGAGGAGGATTCTTTGGGATTAGGTGGATCTGTTGATCTCTCCGCACTGTGAGATCTCAGAGGTGCATCTGGAGTTCCGGTCTGTGAGATATCAGATGATTGCTGAAGATTAGAGGGATCCATTGATGTCCGGAGACTTCCTCCCGGAACGTGTTGTGTGACGTCATTATAATCTGGAGATAAAATAAAAGTATTCTTCATGCCTCACATTCACAAATCATACATGTTGGTGGAACGCTAAACATGTGTACAGAGCTCTGTCATGGAACCGGGAGCAATCGTCACATGACAATATAAATACAAGCCAGATACCACCACGCCACACAGGAGAACATGTGACATGATGGCCTTGTAGAGATGGACCTTCATATGGTGTACAGTATCTCCTCCTCATTTGTTGGTCACATGACGTTATATTGAGGAATGGAGATGGACCTTCATATGGTGTACAGTATCTCCTCCTCATTTGTTGGTCACATGACGTTATATTGAGGAATGGAGATGGACCTTCATATGGTGTACACTATCTCCTCCTCATTTGTTGGTCACATGACGTTATATTGAGGAATGGAGATGGACCTTCATATGGTGTACAGTATCTCCTCCTCATTTGTTGGTCACATGACGTTATATTGAGGAATGGAGATGGACCTTCATATGGTGTACAGTATCTCCTCCTCATTTGTTGGTCACATGACGTTATATTGAGGAATGGAGATGGACCTTCATATGGTGTACAGTATCTCCTCCTCATTTGTTGGTCACATGACGTTATATTGAGGAATGGAGATGGACCTTCATATGGTGTACAGTATCTCCTCCTCATTTGTTGGTCACATGACGTTATATTGAGGAATGGAGATGGACCTTCATATGGTGTACAGTATCTCCTCCTCATTTGTTGGTCACATGACGTTATATTGAGGAATGGAGATGGACCTTCATATGGTGTACAGTATCTCCTCCTCATTTGTTGGTCACATGACGTTATATTGAGGAATGGAGATGGACCTTCATATGGTGTACAGTATCTCCTCCTCATTTGTTGGTCACATGACGTTATATTGAGGAATGGAGATGGACCTTCATATGGTGTACAGTATCTCCTCCTCATTTGTTGGTCACATGACGTTATATTGAGGAATGGAGATGGACCTTCATATGGTGTACAGTATCTTCTCCTCATTTGTTGGTCACATGACGTTATATTGAGGAATGGAGATGGACCTTAGTGTGATAAATACAAATATGACAGTTTTCTTAGGAGGGCCGGAGATCTGTATACCATATGGTAATGCAAATTTGGGATCATAGACTAGGTATATCGATGACATTCTTGTCCATAGGTTATAGTTCCACCTATGTAACAATGTAAATGTATACTTCCTACTCGGCAAAGTCAATTGAAAACGTGACCTGTTTCTGCATTGATTGTTTATGACTTACTTGTGTCCATATGTAGAGAAGATTCCTCCAGTTTACTCTTCACCATCATCTCCCCCTCCTCCATAGACTGCTGAGCTCCTCCCACCAACGTCTCTTCTTCTACTTTGTCTTCATCTTTGATGTCTTTCAGTTGTTTATCCTAAATTCCAGAGATGATAATATATAACATCTGCCAATAATAAGAGATTATATAGAAGAATGTCTTCTCCTACAATATTTTTTGAGTTCTCCTTGCCAAGTCCCATCTACCTGATCATGGTGGGGGATGGTGTGACCTTCCGGTGTGGAATCCCGGGAACACAGAGGACCTCCCTCCTCCATAGACTGCTGATCTCCACTCACCAACCTCTCGTTTCCTTCCTCTTTAACTTCTACTTTGTGGTCTTTCAGGTCTTCTTCCTAAATTCCAGAGATGATAAAATACAACATCTGGAACGGTTACCACCGATAATAAGAGATTACATAGAAGAAGAAGAAGAAGGTCATCTCATAGAAATCATATTCAGTTCTTCTGTCCGAGTCCCATCTACCTGATCATTCCCTGTATAGTCGTGACCTTCCGGTGTGGAATCCCGGGAACACAGAGGACCTCTCTCCTCCATAGACTGCTGATCTCCACTCACCAACGTCTCTTCTTCTTCCTCTTTATCTTCTACTTTATTGTCTTTCAGGTTTTCATCCTAAATTCCGAAAATGATCAAATTTAACCTCTGAGAAGGTTACCGGCAATAATATTACATATAAGAATGTGAATGATTTATGAGTTCTATTTCCAAAGCCCCGTCTACCTGATCATTTTCTCTGGAGTTGTGATCTTCTTGTGTGGAATCCCGGGAACACAGAGGACCTCCCTCCTCCATAGACCGCTGATGTCCACTCACAATTGTCTTTTCTTCTTCTTCTTCTTTAACCTCAACTTTGGGATTTAGGGTGAAGACCTGAAAGACATTAAAGATGATGGAACACAGGAAGGAACAAGAGATTTCATGGAAAAGGGTCATCTTATGATTTAGAATACATTTGAGGGGTTTATGTTCAGCTCCACCTACCTGATCAATGCGAGGCATAGGGTGGTCTTCCTGGGTGGGATCCCGGGAATACAGGGGGCGGGGACATCTCTCTGGTGGGTTCCTCTTACTGGATCCATCTGTAGGAAACACACACACTGACTGAATACATTGTTTCTATGTGTGTATCAGATGATGGGGGATGTAGGCGGAGCCTCCGTACTGCTCTCTCCTCTTACCCGGTGATGTGAGGGGCGGGGCATTCTCCATCACCACGTCCTTGTAGAGATCCCGGTGTCCTTCTAGATACTCCCACTCCTCCATGGAGAGATAGACAGAGACATCCTGACACCTTATAGGAACCTGACACACACAATGATACAGTCACCACCCAGACACGCCCCTTGTCTGTTCCTGGATCATGTCCCAGAATCCCCGGCACCTCTCCCGTCACCACCCAGACACGCCCCTTGTCTGTTCCTGGATCATGTCCCAGAATCCCCGGCACCGCTCACCTCTCCACTCAACAGCTCAATGATCTTCTTGGTGACTTCTAGAATCTTCTTACCACTCTTCCTCTGTTGGGATGGAGGCTCTGTGATGGGTGATGTCCAGTGAGAACATCCGCTGGGTGTTATCGGCTCATCAGAAATGTTCTTCCCTACTTTATAATCCTGAGTAAAGAAAGAAAGTAAGAAAGGTCAGTACAGACGTCCCAGCATCCTCCTCACCTCTCCGGTCAGCTCTGTGTTTTATTACAGAGATACGAGTGATGGATAAATGGCTCTATATTTAGGATGTATCCGGTCTATAAATGGCGGCTCTGGATGGACAGTTGGATAAATGGCTCTATATTTAGGATGTATCCGGTCTATAAATGGCGGCTCTGGATGGACAGTTGGATAAATGGTTCTATATTTAGGATGTATCCGGTCTATAAATGGCGGCTCTGGATGGACAGATGGATAAATGGTTCTATATTTAGGATGTATCCGGTCTATAAATGGCGGCTCTGGATGGACAGTTGGATAAATGGCTCTATACATAGGATGTATCCGGTCTATAAATTATAACAGATATAACAATGACTATGGAAGAAGAGGACGCATATGACATGACGCGGAGGGGGGTTACCGGGTGTACATATAAAATAATATCTTTTTACCTCCTCTGCTTCCAGTTCCAGCAAACTCTCTTCTCTACTTCCTCCTAAATGGAACTTCCTTTTTATACTCATACATCACTTCCTGTCTGTATATTACATCACTTCCTTTCTGTGCGTTCCATGTTAGATCACCGCCTAGTGTTGAATGTGAATACTACAGACTACGTTACGTCTCATCGTGTTGTCCTCGTCCTCCGTTCCTCTATGACGTCACCTCCATGGACACACACACAGATTACACATCACATCCAGACAAGGAAACGTAAAATGAAAAACAAAAGTTTGGTAGTTTTGTGATATTTATAAATGTGAAACTAAATCATGAGGAACAATCTTTATATTTCTGGAGCCAACAAACCTGATCCCATGTTGGCGAACCTTCTTAATTCCAAACCCAAAGGGATTCGATCCCCCCGACTCCGTCCATCTCATGGTCCCGTCTCCGGGAACCCATCCGGGGCTGTAGCTACCATGGGGCAAGTGAGGCACTTGCCTCAGGCGCAGTTGAGAGGGGCCGCAGCCGGCCTGCAAGCACAGGGCGCCATGGCAACAGGGTCCCCAGGCGGACAACGCAGCTCGGCAGGGAGAAGAGGGGCGGCTTCTCCTCGGATGCTGGCTGCTCTCCCCCGCCTGGAGGCGGGGCGCATGACATCACACATCTGTTGGTGGGGGGCACAATTTTCTGTTCTTGCCTCGGGCGCAAAAGGAGCTAGCTACGGCTCTGAACTAGGGTTGCCACCTTTTCTTCAAGCAAAACCCGAACACTCAATCGACGCGTGGACATTTTTTTGGAAGAATGAGTGGTGGCTTATTCATATATAAAAATTGCCGCCCATTCATATGTAAATATCACAGTTGAGACTATTTTCAGTGGGGGGCCAGTAGCCCCTATCTTCATTTTGGTTGCCTCTGTCTGCCTGACATCTTGTGTCCAGGTTTCTGCTTCCATGAAACCCGAACACAGCATTCAAAACCCGGACTGTCCGGGTGAATCCTGGACAGGTGGCAACCCTACTCTGAACCCATCTACTAGAGTTGAACGCTTCTGCTGAAATCTTGGCCAAACTTCACGACAAACCATCTTCCTTCCGGCCGCACTGAGCTGACAAACTGTTTGAGGGCATTGATAGACCACCCCTTTCAGACCCAATGGTAGGGGGTGATCAAGGCTGGATTACGTCTATGTACGGAGGTGGGAACAAGATCTTTGGATCTCCAAATCGATCTTGCAATGGCAGCAAATGTGGACTACGGCAGCTTACTGTACCATTCATATTACTTGCCTACAGCTCCTAAATCTATGATGCGGTGGTACATGGTCCTCTCCTCACGGTTGACTCATCTCCACCCTTCACATTCTGCTCTGTGCTTTTCGGGGGACGCTCCACCAAAGGTGACGTTTTACATATCTGCTGGTCTGGTCCAACGATAGCTAGGCCGTGGTCCAAAAACGTTCCTTCTTCTCCGATCTCTCTTCCACAAAACTATTATCTAAAGACCCCCCCTGGTTTGCACTTCTGCACTTCGAACCTTCCATCTCACGCGAAGGCTCAACATCAATTATAAGGTCTTTATTCTATCGGCGGGTAAACAAGCTCTAGCTCGAGCCTGGACAACCCAATTTGTCTACTTTGCGGATGTCCGCCGTAGGATTGGTTGTTTTATTTTTTCTTCATTAATGAAAAGCTGTCTAGTGTTTATCTATCAGATTCCTCGAGGAAATACCAAAAGATCTGGAATCCGGGAATTTCTTATGCTTACTTTGCATTTCCCCTGACAGCTGAGCTGCTAACGGATCTTCTAGAATCAGAACCTTCAACCCGGGAGACAGAATCTTGGTTTTGGTGCCCACTGTAGAGAGTGACTTCCTGACAAAGTGACAGGACCCCTCTGAGACCAGAGAGAAGATCAGTGATGTCATCTACCAGCCCAGAAGGAGAACGCCCCTCCCCCCAAATATATCACATCCACCCAATAATTCCCTGGAAGGAATGTGATCGCTCTCTCAGCAGAAAGTGACCCTAAAGTGTAACCACTGAAAGGAAGACTAGAGGTCAGGAGGTCAGAGGCCCGGTCTGCTACTCAGATTCAGGAGGTCAGTGGCCCGGCCTGCTACTCAGATTCAGGAGGTCAGAGGCCCGGTCTGCTACTCAGATTTAGGAGGTCAGAGGCCCGGTCTGCTACTCAGATTCAGGAGGTCAGATAAATGGCTCTATATTTAGGATGTATCTGGTCCTATAAATGGCGGCTCTGGATGGACAGTCGGATAAATGGCTCTATATTTAGGATGTATCTGGTCCTATAAATGGCGGCTCTGGATGGACAGTCGGATAAATGGCTCTATATTTAGGATGTATCCGGTCTATAAATGGCGGCTCTGGATGGACGGTTGGATAAATGGCTCTATATTTAGGATGTATCCGGTCTATAAATGGCGGCTCTGGATGGACAGTTGGATAAATGGCTCTATATTTAGGATGTATCCGGTCTATAAATGGCGGCTCTGGGTGGACAGTTGGATAAATGGCTCTATATTTAGGATGTATCTGGTCTATAAATGGCGGCTCTGGATGGACAGTTGGATACATGGCTCTATATTTAGGATGTATCCGGTCTATAAATGGCGGCTCTGGATGGACAGTTGGATAAAGAAAGTCACAACCATTTATTTATATAATAAACAAGACATCTGAAAAACAAACTAAGAGAAGCAACAAAGACAAAATTGAGTTTGAAAAGTGGAAAAAAATAAAATACAAATATTTTTAGAACGTTATTTTTTGTCCTTATTTTCCCCGAGTTTACACGAAATAAAGGACATAATAATTTGGTGTTTTTGCCCATGTTTACTTTGATTGTTCAGGTCTGAAAATAAGGACCTTTACTGTTTCCTGGTCACATAATTGTAGACATTTCATCAATATTTAATTTGTATTCTGCTAAACCAATGAAGGTTCCACTTCATTTATAGGCAGCCCACAATCTGAACTGTTGAGATAACAACAGAGAGCAGACGTGACTTAGAGGTCCACCATCTTCTATCTACACCAGCTAGCCTAAGGATATCCAGAGAGGGGAACCATCTAGGTGTGACTGAGAAGTCCACCATCCTCTAAGGATGTCCAGATAGGAGAACCACCTAGGTGTGACTGAGAAGTTCATCATCCTCTATCTACACCAGCAAGCCTAAGGATGTCCAGATAGGAGAACCACCTTGGTGTGACTGAGAAGTTCACCATCCTCTATATACAACAGCTGGCCTAAGGATGTCCAGAGAGGGGAACCACCTTCACGTGACTGAGAGGTCCACCATCCTCTATCTACACCAGCTGGCCTGAGGATGTCCAGAGAGGGGAACCACCTTCACGTGACTGAGAGGTCCAACATCGTCTATCTACACCAGCAAGCCTAAGGATGTCCAGAGAGGGGAACCACCTTCATGTGACTGAGAAATCCACCATCCTCTATCTACACCAGCTAGCCTAAGGATGTCCAGAGAGGGGAGCCACCTAGGTGTGACTGAGAAGTTCATCATCCTCTATTTACACCAGCTGGCCTAAGGATGCCCAGAGAGGGGAACCACCTTCATGTGACTGAGAAATCCACCACCCTCTATCTATACCAGCTAGCCTAAGGATGTCCAGATAGGAGAACCACCTTCACGTGACTGAGAAGTCCACCATCCTCTATCTACACCAGCTGGCCTAAGGATGTCCAGAGAGGGGAACCACCTTCATGTGACTGAGAAGTCCACCATCCTCTACCTACACCAGCTATCGTATGACTGGCCAGAGATGGGAAACACTGGTTTGTCTGGTCAGTAGGGTGTATCTTGCAGTATGTGAGGCAGTAAATGGATCTGTTGAGGAGTGTGTCACGCTCTGACTCTCCAGCTGTAATTCCAGCCCAGGCTTAAACTTTCACTGCTTGTAGCAAAATCAACCGTCACTACACGTGCCCTCTAACGTGAGTTTTCTGGTGTCTAAGAAGGTGTCTTTTCTGAGTAAAACTTTTCCCACAATCTGAACATGAAAAAGGACGCTCTCCCGTGTGAATTCTCTGGTGTCGAAGGAGATTCTCTTTCTGAATGAAACATTTCCCACATTCTAAGCATGGGAAAGTGCGTTCACCCGTGTGAATTCTCTGGTGTGTATGTAGGTGTCTTTTCTGAGTGAAACGTTTCCCACACACTAAACACGCAAAAGGGCGCTCACCGGTGTGACTTCTCTGGTGTCTTAGAAGCCCTGCTTTGTGAATGAAGCATTTATTGCATTCTGAACATGCAAAAGGACGTTCACCTGTGTGACTTCTCTGATGTACAAGAAGGTTTACTTTATGAATGAAACTTTTCCCACACTCTGAACATAAAAAAGGGCGTTCTCCTGTGTGCATTTTCCTGTGTTTAAGAAGGTGTCCCTGCTGAGTGAAACACTTCCCGCACTCCAGACAGGAAAAAGATTGCTCTTCCGTGTGCCTTTTCTGGTGCGTTAGAAGGTATGAATTTTGAGTAAAAGTTTTCCCGCACTCTGAACATGAATAAGGGCGCTCACTTATGTGACTTGCATAGCGTGCAATAAGGTCTTCTTTCCAGGTGAAGCTTTTCCCGTACTCTGTCCACATATTTGGAGGCTCAGGCGTGATTTTCATCTGATGTACCATAAGAGATGATTTAGATATAAAAGAGTTATCAAATGCAGAGCTTGATAGAACCTTTCCCTCACATTGACCAACATCTGAAGAAGCTTCCTCGTGATCATAGAGACTGCTCGATCTGTCTGCACTGTGACGTCCTGAGTGGATCTCTTTTATCGTAGTATGTAAATTTCCATTGGACGAGGCTTCAGAATTAGAGGAATCCTTCGATCCAGCCCCAGTATATTCTGCTCGACCATCTTCCACGATGCCGATACTTTCCACGTAATAATCTGGAGACGAGATAAGAACATCAGTTTCCCTCTGCGGAATATTGGGGAATGGAGATGGACCTTCATATGGTGTACAGTATCTCCTCCTCATTTGTTGGTCACATGACGTTATATTGGGGAATGGAGATGGACCTTCATATGGTGTCCAGTATCTCCTCCTCGTTTGTTGGTCACATGACGTTATATTGAGGAATGGAGATGGACCTTCATATGGTGTACAGTATCTCCTCCTCATTTGTTGGTCACATGACGTTATATTGAGGAATGGAGATGGACCTTCATATGGTGTACAGTATCTCCTCCTCATTTGTTGG